TGCAGTATATAATGAGCGGCGTGGCCAGCGTGGTGGACTCGGATGGAAGGCACCTGACGCGTGGCTCTGGCTTCTGATTGATCAATAAAGCCTGTTCTGTTGTACCCGTCTTTTACCTATTAGGGCTCGGGTATTTTACAGTGGTGCGGATTAGGGTGCAGACATATTGGACCACCTGGCCGCAGCCAATCCTGTGTCTCTCTGTGTTCCAATGGCAAGCGAGGAAGATAAGCAGTCATCCAGAGAAGGACACAACTGAGGTGCAGTATATAATGAGCGGCGTGGCCAGTGTGGTGGACTCGGGTGGGAGGCGTCTGACGCGTGGTTCTTGGTTGTGATTGGTCAGTGGAGCCTGTTCTGTTGTACCAGTCTTATTCCTATTAGGGCTCGGGTATTCTACAGTGGCGTCGGATCCGGGCGCAGACATATTGGACCACCTGGCCGCAGCCAATCCTGTGTCTCTTTGCGTTCCTATGGCATGCGGGGAAAATTTGCGGTATATGACCAGCGAGTGGCCAGCATGGTGTACTTGAATAGACAGCACCTGACTTGTGGTTCTGGCTTGTGATTGGTCATCAAAGTCTTTCTGTTGTGTCAGTCTTCGTCATGCAAGGGCTCGGGTATGCCATACTAGCGTGTGTCAAATTTAATCACTTTATGCGCAGCCAATCCTTAGACGACATGCGTTTAAATTGCCTACGTTGAAGATAAACGCTCACCCAGAGACAGGAATTGATAAGAACCCAGTATAGGGACTTGGATGAACGGTACCTGGTGGCAGATTTGGCTTGAATTTGTCCAATAAAGCCTTTATGTTGTGGTCGTTTTCTTTATTTTAGAGATCGGGCATTGTACACGCTATTGTAAAAAAGGCTATAAAAATATTTAGACGGTTACAAAGTAGGTAGTTCCATCATAACTTTGCATATAATATTCACGGTGTAGCTGACCATAATATGTTGTTATAAAACTCTTACACTGATTACGAGTTAGATTAAATGTGTATGATTTGATAGGAGACATTGAGGATCAAAAGTCAGCATTCATAGGAAGTTAATGTTTAACTTCCTATTTAGAAATTAGGACCCAAGCTTTTTAAGGATATCGTGAGTGCTAGCAATATTTTTTAGTGAATTTATTCTTTTCTAGCTCTTTCACGTATTTAAAATCTGAAAATTGTATTTATATATTTGTTTTTGCATGGTGGTTCTGATGCGGTAACTTTTTAATACATTGAAAAGTGCCGAGTATAGATAAGTGGTTAAAATCATTATAGGACTTTTCGTCGATATTGTAGATGCGTGAAATATTCAGAATAACTCTTACGAACAAGAGATGAGTACCCTTTTCTGCTCTCACCAGTATACATTTGGCACCTGCTCTGGAATCTTAAAAACGATGTTTTCACGAACAATTATCCTTAAATCGATGTTCCCTGTACCTATTCATCACCAATTTTTGATTTAAAGTTAATTAAAATTGGAAATCAATCAAATTTTTACCGTTAGTTTTGAAATTTTTTAGACATCGGTGCATTAGTCACCATTTGAGGGGTTATCTCAGTGAGTAAAGCTTATTTACGTGTTGATTTGGTGCAAAGGAACTATAATAAAGTTAATAACAACAAGCGCTACTGTATTTTCCTAAAATTCGGTACTTTTCTAGTCTGACGCTAATAACAAAATCATTCGTTGTTGTTTAGCGTGACTCGGTTCTCAGGTTGTCGACGGCTATTAACCGGAATAGTGTTTCGCTAGTGGAAACAATCCACTCCATATTAATATTCAGTTATCAATTCAGGTGTTTATGGACGCAATAATACACGTGTTTACTATCGGTTACTAAACTGTATGCAACTTTTATCTGTCTGATATCAGCCAGCCAAAGTAAAAATAAACCCTTTGCACTTCTTCAGTTAATTGCACAAAACCATTTATATTGATAAAAAAAATAAATGTTGCTAAACCAGATGTAATATTTGTTTGCTAATCTTAAGGATTATAAGGGAACACATGATTCTAGCGATATCAAAATTATCCACTGTTATATTACATTTCAATCTCTTAAATATCAAACTACGATGGCGCGCTCTCTAAGATTAGTCATTTAAAAGTTTTGTACAAGCAACTTAAAGTATTCAACATGCTAGATGCGCATATTTAAACTATTTCAAAATTTAACCCTAGTTGATTAACGTCGTTTCATAATCGCAGCTTATTGCATGCCGATGTAGAAAACATGAGTCCTAGATTCAAGAAGATAAGTTAAACAGAGCACACTTTATTGTTTAGCCACAAGCCATAACCGTCAGTAAGGCACCGAACAACTGAGTTATCTACCCTGGCTGCCAGTTCATAACATAGTATTTCACGTCCGTGTAGCGGCATAACGAATACCCGCCATATTAGCGCTAAGCCATTGGTCAAGAGCAAATAGCATGCGATGATGGAGCGTCATACGACCAAAGGCGCGACGTTGCGTTTCGTGTCACAATATGGCATTGAATAGCGTGCCTGGAACCAAAAACCAACCCACTTACAAATTGTACGCCCCCATCGCAGGACCTAAGAACTGACCAAACAGAGAACAGGACGAGACTTTAAAAGCATAACCTTTCAGCTATAATGTCATCTTCATCTGTTACTGCATTCTGTGCTTAGAAAGGTCATTGATTTTGTCCGTCAATCCTGCTGTCATTTTTGCCAGAGATCTACATCCACAAGAGCTCAGACATCGTATCCCATCACACTAAGCTAATTCTGAGTTTGAATGGCATGCGTTAAAGATCAGCAGTTAACAATTGACAATGATGGATAAAAAGCACTATTTAATGAGCGCCGTAGCCAGTACACAGACTCCGATGGACGGCGCCTGTCGGATGGTTCCAGCTTTTGATTGCTCATTCTTCATACTGGGTCTTGGGTATTCCGCATTGGTGTCAGCGCATGCCTTTGGACCATGGGAATCAAACCCGGAACCCTCCTTTTTTCGTCCATAGACAACTGAAGCAAAGACCCATGAATGCCAAGTGCATTTGTCACGGTAGTCCATTTGATGTTCTAAAAACACTGGATCCATCAACATTAACCGGGATTAGGACCACTACGTCTGAAGAGACATCTAAAAGTCTGTACAGACAATGAAATTCAGGTGAAGGAACCAGTAATGAATGTAGCAGCCTTAGTGCAAATCAATAAACCAATAATATTCCGTCTACTAGTTGCTTGAGTCACTCCTGCCACGGGTCTGGTGTCGCAGAACGTTGAACTCGATATCTATCGTTCAATTATTTAACAGTGCCAAGCACCAAGTCGGAAGCAGAGGACTGCCAGTAGAAGGCTTTGGGTTTATATCGATCAATAACGCTTTTTCTGAGTATTCTACATGTAACACGCGACATTCCACCAACGTACACCGGTCTGGCCTGTTAATTATCTCTCCGTTCCATTCCCCATTCCGCCTTTTTCAAGATACGCGCGTAGGTCTGCGGCTATCGATGACCTTACTCTTGCTACACCCACTCCAACTGCCACGCTAAGCTCTGTTTAAGCTGCTACTTTTAGAAAAAGAGCAGATTAGTTTTGCGCGAAAATTTAAGTGTAAAATATACGGGTTAGGCTTGATTTTTCGATGTTTTTATTCTAATTCTTTCTGTTTGGTATTCGTGTTAAATGCTCTTCAGCTTGAGCGTACGTTTTCAAACGTTCTGAATCAGTCTCTTTTTTGGGCGATTCCGTTTTCAATAGCAAAGGTGTCGAAACGTGTAGTGTTTACATTAATGTTTCCAAAACTATATGCTAAAAAATCAGCAAACCACAAATTTTCAAAATATAAGTCCAACCAAACTTTTGTTTGGATATTTCAATCTCTTAAGGATTACATATATTTGCGCTGGCGACTCACTCTTTAGACAAAAAGTGTACTAGTTACACCACCACCGATTACTTAAACATGCTAAATGACTCACTTCCAGGTTTAATATAGGCCGTCTATCTATTTCAAGAGTTTTACAAACCACATCCGCACAATCTCATTGCAAAAAAAGAGATTTTGACTTACATGGCCCACCTGGTCTCACTTGTGATATTTTTTAAAGGTCACATCAAAATCCGATGTATAGCACATCTGATGCTTCTAAGAGAAAGATAACTGGTAACGTTTTGTTGTCTTGATTACAAATGAGTCACGTTTGATTACAATTGCATATAAGGTGGCTATCAAACCAAACCACATTTAGGCCCCAAGAACTGACTCAGCATACTGACAAAATAATTAATTGTTTTGCTGAGAAATTTGTGGAGGCCAGTCGTGCTCGACAGCAATTACATCGAGCGCGAGCAGATCGACCTGACAGCCAAGTAAAGAAGACAAATTGGGTTGAGTTCGGCCCAAGTCGCCATGGACCAATTCCTTGACATAAGTTCCGGCTTCGCAGCAGAGCTCTAGCAAAAATAGCTCTTCCTTTGGGTACACTTCAGTCCACTTCGTAAAATCTTTAAGCTAAAAGGGATGTGATCCAATTAAGAAAAAGGTATGGTAATAATGACTAATCTGTAGTTGTTACCTCGGAAAGACGGCTTGTGACACCTGACTACTTTTGATTGGATGATGGAGTACATGTGTAGTAACGATAAAAAACAAGCATTGCACGTAACAATTTTTATACCTTTATCTTAAAAGGCGTTGTGATAAGAACATGAAGGTTCCTTCTCTAGAATGTTTTTACCATACATTGATGCGGTATTATTTGACTAACAGGAAGATGCAACTTTCAAACCACTAAAAAAGTTGCACTTGTGTCCCAAAAAGGCATACCCTTAAACATGCCTAAAAATAACCCAGACGAATGTGGAAAATCTGACGACGTAGACGAACCGAGGCGTAGTGACCTCTGGCAAAAATAGACAAAACCACATGATAGCCAGAGGGTAGTCATTGAGCAGTTCAAATAACAATTTTCAGATTGTTCTTATCAACTATCGTACTTTTATTATCTTGAATTGCTCGCTGAGCGAAATTTCGAACTTGCTTACTAACAATTAGGCGAATGCAGTGTTAGCTTTATTTGATGCTAAGCAAGCATTAGTATTTTTTACATGATTTTGATCATTTATGATAATAGCATCTTATGTTTTTATAAGGGTTGTGCTTCCGAGCTGTCTTTTCGTTTACAAATTATCAAACGCCATATATTTTCTGAGCAAGAGAATTAGTTCCTAATGCTTTGAAAGCAATAAATCAGCGGTCTGCTTACCGCAAATGGTGCATTTTCGCAAAGCACACTGCTAGTAAAATCTGCGAGACGAATCCAAGTGATTTCGCGAGATCGTGACATCAAGGCACGTCGATGGAGAACTCTGATAGGAGTAAGTTGATTGATTGTAAATCCTCCTAAAGATAAAGATGCCATGTCGCATTTGAGCTCAGGGTGGTGTGCAACTTTTGTAGGGGGCCACTCTGCTTTTGAGGGCGTTGAAGCTTCCCCAGAGTCGCATGACATAGCGCGAATTTGAGAGTCGATTCGGCGAACACGCTCGGTGGTGAGTCCACCCTCTGAACACCAGCACACGGCACGGTAGCGCTTCAATTTTTCAATTTCGCCAGACTTTAGTGAGGCGTTTGCAGCAGCAGCCCGAACAATCTACAAGGTGAGTCATTTAATGTGCCTGAAAGCAGATGAGAGTAGAATACAGTTACAAGCCGAAAACACACCTGCAAATCGCGAACAAAAACACGGTTATCTGTGGACTTATTGACGATGTCTGTAAGCCAAGTAAGATTGTTAGCATCTTCGAAAATTGCGGCGTCAGTTCTATTTTTCAGTGCTGCATTTTCGTCGGGAAGTGCAGAATTTGTCCTCAGCATTGAATATAATGTTCGATTGAAACCATTCAGTTCAAGAACAAATGGACGCCCGAGTCCTAAGCACCTGTAAAATAAACGTTATTCGATTCCTCATTGTTCATAACAAACACGTCACTAAACATTGACTTCAAGCCGCAGATCCTAATTCAATTCAATAGTTCACCCTTATTACACGAGATATCAGACCACTTGAGTTAAGACTGTACTTTCGTCAAAATTCTGTAAATGAGTTGTACTTAATTGTGTGAATTCATGCCTACCTCTTACGTCTATGCTTGTCTTAGTTTATCCATCACCCCACCTAAACTAACCGACCTCTACTGAGCAAGATCACCAACAGATATTGCTCCAATTTATAAGCAGTGGTGATCTTGTGAAAAGGAATTCGTTGAGTTGTGCAGTAAACGGTCTGGTTCCCAGTGTCCCAGACCTTCTCATTCTCTTTATTATACAGAGGTTAGTTTAGTTAAACAAGAGTTATCCCTTGAACGTACAGTAGGCTGAAGGATATAAAATGACCACAATAATTGCTAAGGTAGTAGATTCTTTAACAACATGAAACCACCTCTCGGACCTTTTGAGTTCGAGGCAGGTGGGCTTCTAAGTTCTATTAACCAATTCCGTGCAAACGCACCCGGATCCTGAAGGAGTACAGTTTCACAGATTGTGGTGCCTTTTAACACTATAAAGGAGTTTTCGATAAAGCTTCGGAGATAGTGTTTTCGCTTCTAATAACCCTTAAAACCGGAGGTTTGGCTATTTCACATTTTCTTAATTTGCCCTTCTAAAAACCGAGTTTAAAGCCTTTAGTATACTGGGGATTGGGTACCAGTTACGGTTAGGAAGTTGTAGAAAGGTGGAGAGTTCGGGAGTGTAGCACAGACTCGGCTGGACAAGTTTGTTCCCAGCAAAGTGAGTAAACCTACTGAGAGGTTAACAAGAGAGTATGAGATGACTAACATTCCAATAAGGAAAAAGAATGCTGGCTATACCTTACGTCAACATCCTCGCGCCCCGAGCTGACGAAATTATAGGTGGTATCGGGTCCAAACGCGGAGACCAACGGTGAGGCAATCAGTTCTTCTACTGACGAATCCAATTTGCGTTCTCCATCAAGAACCCAGGGGGTTTGTGGTAAATCGCGGCACAACTTGACGTAGCGACCTGCCACTGCGAGCGGAGCCGCACGCGACACCTTCACAGAGCCCAGCTGAACGACTGGTGACGCACAGCCTACCCCCTTTCCAGAGGCTAGACTGGGAGGACGCAAAAAACAGCTCCGCAGGTTTGACCGTAGGTCACTTGCATAATAATTATCTAACGATACTTGTAATTAGTAAATTCTATCAATTAAAGCGGATAAATTGGACTCAAGCACGGTGCTGTACCTTTGATTAAGTAATTAGCAGCACATACAGATTGCATAACAACCACGCTTCACGAAACTTAAGCGATCATTTAGCCGACTTCACTTTTATCATGTTTCAAAAGCAGAAATGGTGCCAGTAAAGGTTTGCTGCTACAGTAAGTTGAAAAATTGTAAGGACATCAACAATTTTAAAAAAATCGTACAAAATAAATTATACATCCTGGTAGGTGGTGCAAAAGGGTGTCGAATTACACAAAAATGCTTGCGATCAACTTCAAAATAGGGATGAATGCGAAACCGTGTCCCCCTTAGATGAGTACTGCATAACTCAAAACTACAAAACGCGGTATTATGCTCTAACAAGACCTAAACAGCCCCCAGAATTTGCCATATATTGCTTAAAATTAAACTCCTAAGAATGTGTTAACCAGGGGTTTGCCAACAATGTGTTATTAAGCGTAAATTAATTAGGTAAGTGCATCATGATTAGCATTACGTGAACAATATGAATCGCAACTGGAAGTCTGAATGTATGACGCTGGACACTGATGGCATCGCCGATGCGTAAGTCATGAGGAAATTGTGTAAAGGGGGAATGAAGAAAGAAAGATGATCCATGGGTGGTTAAAAGTTTTTCTCACTAGCGAGTCTGCTAGTATTAGCGTTAACAAAATAGCCATCACTACGAACTACACTGAAAGAAAATAAGACCGCACGGTTTCATGTTCGTTGAAAAGGAACATAAGACAACTTACTTTAACACCTCTTCCAGGAAAACTTTATCGGGAAGGAATTCGAGCAGGTGCCTAAGAGAGGTGCGCGACACGCTTAGGGTAGCTGGCTCCTCAGACTGATTTTTCACTGCAGTTTGGTGTCGTTGTTTAAAAAAACGGTTGCGAGACTTTTTCCCCATTCCATTGGTAGGCAAATACTTGGCATAGTCACGAGGGTTGCGGTGCCTTTTTATTGCAGCCAGGAGAAGTGAGACATCGGAGTCACCTTTCACAGCCTCAGAGGGGAGTTCAAAGTTCACGAGAATGTCCACCTGATCGGTGGCTGCATCGAACCAACAAGGAGGTGAGGCTGACTCCAAGAAAGGTGACATTTGACTGATGCGCTCCTCCTATGAATGGACCAATAGTCAGACCCATTAACTTTGAGTGGCATAGAAATTCTGCATGAGTCCCCTCGCATTGCATTTAAAAATGGACACATTTCAGTTTGGTGAGACAGGCCCTTCACAACTTGCAACACCATTCACATCAGAATTTCCGGGGGTCTACACTTGTAAATTTTTTTTTCAATGATAATCTACCAGCAAATTGCTTCGTAACAAAGCATGAACTTTAAAGTGTAAAACCTCTTGAATAAAAACAAATATTGTCAATTAATTTCAATATAAACTCATCAACCTCTTTTACGGGCAGATGAAATGTGATGCAAATCTTCAGAGAATGATTTATGCCTTATTAGGAATCGTTCCAGTTTCAATTTGACAGAGATATAGACTATCAGCCGGAAACAATTAATTGAAGTGGTATAAAGCACTTGAATAAATAAGATATGTTTACCAAGTCGGCATTGGAGTCTAGGTGTAAGCCAAAGTCACTGGCTTGAATTATGCTCAATTAAATCATGTCAGCTGAATGCTGTCCAACGTCAAATTGTCAGCCTTTCAAGAAAATCTACAGCATGAAGTCCTGTGGGTTGAAACCAACGACTAAACAGGAACAACCAAATTACTACCCAAATTATGAATTCACATGATTAACCTTCAGCCGATGATTACACATAGTGATGTTCTGTCATTGTCGATAGACAATTTTACGGAAGAAGCTGAGAAAGCAATGCCTTCAAATGCTGCACCATTTAAAAGCAGATTCAGTTTATCAACAGACATCCACGTAGTAGCTGACCGGCAATATTTGCTTACCAGGTAAATATTCCAACACAAATCAGGTCTAAAAAAACTACAAACAGCCTCACTTAAGTTCACGGGTCTCAAGGTCACAACATTTTGGATTTGGAAGCACTAGAAAGTTGCATACACGAAATGGCTTAATAACATCCATTCAAGAGGTATACGCGATCCGTGAAAGCAATAGCAAAACAAACGCGTATGGGCAATTTTAGTTCGTTCTCTTACTGCCGAGCTACAACCGACCAACAGCAAGGAATTCGGTAGTAAAAATAGGATAGCAAAACAGACCATATATTAAATGGAGTTCGATAAAACAAGGGCAAAAGGTTTGTGGTATTTTTACACATGCATAGCAACTGTTCGGGCGTCCCTGTGACCATATGTGCGTGACATAACTAGTGACGGATTGTGGATTTTCGGGCAAACCAAAATCATGAATTGAGTGAAGTTCATTGTGCGCATGTTAGACAATGGCGAGCAAATCAACCATCCCTTTGCCACAGTTCCCACTTATACATACACACGGATACATACATACAAAAAGCTACTATGCACAAATGAGATGGAGTCCTCACTATTTTGTTACAGCACATTTGTTGAGGACCTTTTACCGCGAGGCTAACCCAGAAAGACAATAAGTCCGCAGATGGTAGGCACGACCGTTTACTAGACCGCTCAACCAAGTTGTGTCGTTTTACAGTTGAGTGGACAC